AGAGGTGTCTATTGGGAAGGGATGTCTGAGGTGGGAATTGTGTATCAGGCCATCCTTTGTGGAAATGCAGACCCAGGAGGCATCAGAGCAGGAGATTCCTAGGAGAGACTTGAGTGCTGTTCTTCACTCAATGCTGGAAGGCTTCTGCAAGACCCCTATACCTTTTGTTCTTCAGAGAGAGAATGTATTCTGAGACCCTGACAAAATAGAAACAGAAATACTAATAGAAGCTAATCTTTAACAAGCTCGTACTATACGCAGGCAGAGTTGAAAGTGACTGTGTAGCTCATCCCACTTCAGTGGTGGCTTTTGACAGAGGCGGAAGCGAGAGTGGACATGCTAACTGACCTGCCTTTCCCTTTCCCTACTGTATTCTGGGCAGATAGAGACAGAGCCAGGAGGAAAGCCTAGAGCCATGCTCTGAACCTCTTTCCACACAGGGATCTGTTGTCAGGACAATGCTCATCCTGACCTCTGTCAACAAACTCATTTTCTCTCAGAGACATGTCTGCTGGCTCTTTCCAGCTACATATTTTGTGACTACAAAAGATTGTTTCAACACCCACAGAGGTGAGCCTGGAATCCATGGTTTTAATACTAGCTCACTTATCTCTACCAGATAGAACAGTGATCGACTTTGGTGTACTTTGTCCCAGATTTTTCACCTGGAGTGGGCAGAGCTTGGCACCTGACTCAGATGATCCTGATGGCCTTTTTGCAGGAGAGGAATCCTCGGTAGGATCAGGAAATTACATGGAACTCCATTTCCAACCCATTCACCTGTGAGGTCTAGGAAGAAACTCTCATTCTCAGAGATTGTTGAAATTGATTTTAGTTTTCTAATCATAAAATTTATTTTAACTTTCTAATAGCATCTATTTTAGTTTTGAAGGCAGAAAGCCTCAGAAATTCCTTATCAAATCAATTGGATGGTTTAATGAGCAAAGCTCATGTGAAATTCGAAAGTGAAAGTTGGCACAACTTTTTGCTGTATGTGTGCAAAGTTAATTTGTGGGTGTTCCAGGTAATAAAGAAGACTAGCTTTGACTTCTCTCCTGGCTTCCAGAAAGATCCCCAGGCTAGAAGAAGACCTTCCTAGGCTGGTCTGTCCCACGGGTCCATGTGGCCCTAGAGCTGCCTGAACTGCTGATGACGGCATAGTCTGAATAGTGAACAAAATAACTGAGGGTATAGAAAGCCCCCCCTCCCCGAGGTGTGCTTAGAAAGGGGCTGCATGGTGAGGGATACACACACCAAACTGGGGGCCAGATGATTGTGTTGGACCCTAACATGAATTTCTGTGTTATCTTGTGTGGCTCATTACCTCTTAGGGGCTTGGTCTTTATTTATTTTATTATTATTATATTTTTAGATATGGTCTTACTATGCCACAATGCTCCTGCCTCAGGCTTCTGAGTAGCTGGAATTACAGAAATGCACCAACATGCCTAGCTTTTGGGGGAAAGTCAAACCTGGAAATACAACCTGGGCCTCCCATATGGCCTCAGCATACTGAGTAGCAGCATTAATAATCATGCACTTCTGTAGCTGGGCCTGTTTCTTTCCTTTCCTTTCCTTTCCTTTCCTTTCCTTTCCTTTCCTTTCCTTTCCTTTCCTTTCCCTTCCCTTCCCTTCCCTTCCCTTCCCTTCCCTTCCCTTCCCTTCCCTTCCCTTTCCTTTCTTTCTTTCTTTCTTTCTTTCTTTCTTTCTTTCTTTCTTTCTTTCTTTCTTTCTTTCTTTCTCTCTCTCTCTCTCTTTCTCTCTTTCTCTCTTTCTCTCTTTCTCTTCCTTTTTTTTTTCTCTCTATAGGGAAATAGCAGATACTACCCTACCTGGTAACCAAATTGTTGTGAAGATCAAATGGGTTTCTGGGTCTAAGTGTTCTTCATGTATAAAATGTGATTCCATTGTTAGTTATTATTTTTATCTTGAAAATGAGGGATGTGACTAGGCAATAATAGTCTCAGTTCTCTTCATCCTTAGCAAGTGGCTAGGTAGCTTGGAGGCCTGAGGCCCAACCTAGAAACAGCAACAGACACCATGCATCTTAGTGGAAATGACCACCACAATTGCTCTTCTCTAGGATAGCCTTCTAGTTAAACACATTTAAGAAATGCAGGGTGTCAGGTTACTTTTCTACAAGTGTAACATTGGTTCCGATATTGGTTTATGACCTCAGAAAATCTTTTAATTTCCATTCTCATATTTCATGATCTGGATATTCAAAAGCCCCCTGGTAGTCCTAATTTTGGTTCCTGGGGATTTATCAGTCCAAAAGGTTTGGAGTGAAAAGCCAGGACTCAGTAAGTCCCAGAACAGAGATGGCTCATTCTGCCCAAGAGCTTCACCACATACCAGGCCAGAGGTGAGGTGAGGGCTGCCCATATGCCTGTATTTGAGAAGCTCAGTTTACCTGCCCAGTGAGACCACATGTGAGAGACCCTAACCTCAAGTTCTCCAAAACTGGTGAACCCTAAAACTCACATCCCAGATGATGCCACCTGGGTACTATTCATGGGACCATGATACTTTTGCTCTGTGTTCAGTGGAGAAACTCCAGTCCTCACCTTCCTGGGATGTAGGGCAGCCTCTCTAAAGGAGGAGGCCTGTGAGGCTGCTGTCTCGCCAGTTGAGGTACCTGAGCCTGTGTGTGGGAATAGGTGGCTCTATACAGACAGCTTTGCCCAGGCATTTCCCAGCAACCTGGAAGACTCCTTTACCTGAGTTTTTATTCCTTAACTTTTGACTGTCCAGTGGGGCTGAGCGGGACCAAGCTTGGCTGTGGAGAAGGGGGATGCGGTGCTTGCACGGTGATGCTTTCCAAGTATGATCATTTCCAGAACAAGATCGTGTATCCTTTGGCTATTGGCCGATGCCTATGCGAGGACCATGATACAGAGCCAGCTTATGAATGGGCACAGAAGTGTGTGTTTGTGTGTGAGCCCTTGTGTTTCTGAGTAGGTGCTGGTCATGGACAGGAAATAGCAGAATTCCTGACCTATGAATATTGACCAGACTCTAAACTGCTTATGAAATGACCTTTCTAAAATCCAGGATCATATCATGGTCCTTCTAATCCTGCAACAACTTTTGCCCCCAGGATAAGGTCCAGTCTCTTTGCTTAGCAGGCAGAGCACTTCACAATGTACCCAAGCTTTCCCCTCCACCTCATCATGGGCCCAGCACACCATCCAGTAGAGATGATTGTGAACTACCAATGTTCCAAGCCTGATAATTTCTTTTTTTAAAAATTATTTTTTATTTTAACTTTATTTATTTAATGATTTTATTTTGTTTTTATTTGACCAGAGAGGGAGGGAGGGAGGGGAGAGAGAGAGAGAGAGAGAGAGAGAGAGAAAGTGAGAGAGAGAGAGAGAGAGAAAGTGAGAAAGTGAGAAAGTGAGAAAGTGAGAAAACAAGCTACCAGGTCCAGGACTCAAACTGTGGTCGGTCATGTGGGAGTCCAGTGCTCTTAACCACCATGCCACCTGCCAGCCCACATGCCTGATAATTTCTTGTCTTGGCATAAACTGTTTTCTGTGTTGAATGTCATCTGCTATAGGATTTCTCCACCTGCTAACTCTTACTAGCTCTTTAAAACTAGGCCAAAACATCACCATGTTCAGAAAACCTTTGATTTCCCAAGACCGGGTGAGGTGCCCTTGTCTGTGCTGTGTCCTATGCACAGCCCTCCTGAAGCATACACTGTAAGTTTTTAACTGTATCTTCACACTGGCTTCCGTTTTCCTGGGGTGGATCACAAGCTACTGAAGGGCAGAGTTTTTAATCTTCTTTGCCTTGATTTCCTCAGCCCTCTGCAGAGTGCCTCACATAGGGTAGGCACTCAGTACCTACTGTTGATTGCACAAGTGAATGAATGATGAGTAAAGAGAAAGATACAAGGAAGCTCCATCCAAGCGGTTGGTGTTGCAAGTTGCCTGGGGATTTCCCCTCGCTTTCCCCAAAGAGGAATGGAAGAAATAGAGAAGTGAACCCAGGAAATCAGAAGGGACTGGAGATTCTGACACTGAGGATGCTCCAGGAGGGTCCTGCAGAGATAGGAACGTACTTTAAGGCTGAAACCTGCCAGAACTCCCCTCCCCCAACTACCCCTCTTTTTATAAAAACGATAGCATGTATGTACAGGAAATGACGGGGGGGGGGGGGGGTGGGGACCAGACAGAGACTTGTTATGCCACAAACCCCTTTCCAAATCCTCCAGCTCCTCAGGATACTGTGCATGCCCAGCTTGAGAAAGTTCCTCTTGACTCAGCCTCCTGGATTGGAGTTAGTAAGAGACAGTTGAAAGTAACCCTGGCTCTCTTACTCCAGCTCAGAGGTCATAGGTGCACTGATGCCTGACCTCACAGGACTCTGGGAGGGGCTCAGCCTCACCTGGGAGGAGAGCTTCTTTTGTCCCTCTCCTAGAGTTTTAGGTGGAGAGGTGAGGCCATGAGTAGAAGAGACAAGAACATAACATAGAGTGAATAGAAACAGCATGAAGTCTTATAAGTCTTCAAGGCCCTACACTGCTCTGCTCACCTGAGTGGGCAATAGAATGACCTTAACCCAGGTTTCAAGTCACTTTTCTGCCAATGCCTGCCTGGCCCCCATATGCTCCTTGCACCATGTTGCTGTGACGACTGTGGAAGGAATAGGAAGCACCAAGTCAAGGCTGCATCCAGTGCAGGTAACCAGAGGAAGGGGTCTGTGTTCTTGTGGTCAGGCCATCTTCAGGGAGGCTCATGCCCAGACTGCAGACTTGCTTTGTGTAGTTTCACTTTAAGGAGTTTCACTGCCTGAGCAAAGGAGACACTGTACCTTGGACACTTCAATATTTGTGTACACCTAAGCCTAGAGCCCTTCCCATGGCTGTAACCCTACAAGATCCTGGTGGAAAAGGGCCCAACTGAATCTAGTGACCAGGGCAGTCTGGCACTGACTGCACAGAACTATGAGGAGGAGGGGCTGGGGAGCCTCCTTATTTCCTTTTTAAAAATTATTATTATTTACATTCAATGGCTATATATCATTTAGCTTATGAGAGAATTTATCCAACATGAAGTACACCTCAGGTCAGACCAGTCTAGTTGAGAATACTATACACATTATCAGCAACAGGTACAAATCATTTCTGTGTCGTACTTCTCTATTTTTATCCCTAATTTCCTTCCCTATACTCTTCTCTCCCACTCTCCTTCCACACTGTCATCAGTGTCCATAACTATTTTTAATGCTTTTATGCCCTCCAATCTTTCAGTCTCTACCATGGAGTGTGGACAGTCAGTATATGCTGAGACATGCAATATCTCTCTTTCATAACCTGACTCACTTTACTCAGTAATAAATCTTGCATATTCATCCACTTTCTATCAAATACCAGGGTCTTATAATTTTTTATGGCTGAAAAGTATTCCATGGAGTATATGAGCCACACTTTTTAAATCCCTTTATCTGTTTGTGAGCATTTGGGTTGGTTCTATGTCCTAGTAATTGTGAACAATGCCGCAATAAATAGATGTGCAAGCATTTTTCCGACTTAGTGTTCTCCTATCCTTTGGTAGATACTCAGGAGTGGAATACTGGATCATGTGGTAGTTCTATTTGCAAGTCTTTGAGAAACCTCCATATTGTTTTCTACAGTGTCTGGACCAATTTACATTCCCATCAACAGTGTGTTTAGGAATTCCTCTGCTCCACCAAAGTTTCCCAAATTCCAGATTCTCTGTGTACATAGAGACAAAAAGCCCCTCTACTCCCTATTTCCTGTAATGGCAATTCCATCCACCCCTTACCTCCCATCCACAGAGAATACAGATGTGGACTGTAAGGTATCCATCCTCATTAAAATGGAGGTTAGCCAGTGCTAAATACAATGCTAGAGATGTACAAAGGACTGACCAAGCCTTTCCCCCTGATGGTATTGGATCATCTGAAAATAGATTGAAGAGTGGGTAGAAATCTGAGGGATTTTATTGGGGGAAAATCAGAGTGTTCCTAGACCAAGTAGAAACAAACAGGAGCAAAGCACTGTGGGAGAAAAGGCCATTGTTGCCAATGTGTTTTGTTTGGAGAAAACTGAGGCAGGGATCTTTGGGAGATTGTAGTCACAGAAGGTGCAAGATCTAGGCTCAGGCTTTCATCCTCTGTGAGCCATTGGAAGAGTCATGCTGTCCAGGAGCTTGTACCTTCCCTAGATGCCTCTCTCGATCTCATGGGGCATGGGTCTCTAGTTGAGTGAGCTGGTTCTATTCCCTGGGAAGAACATCTCAGGTGACTCATGCAAGGTCACAGCAGGGTGGTGAGGTATTGCTTCACCCGTGTAAGCTTTGTTTCTTAGGTGGACCTGCAGAAGGTATCAGAGTTAATCAGGGCTGTCATTTTCCTTGATGAAAGAGAATGAATAGTTTAAACATGGGTCCCATTATACATGAACCTTCCCTTTCCATGGTACAGATCCTTAGTCCTGGTGCACTTATTTTGGTTCCATGTAAGCCATAGCTCCAGATTCCACTTCTAGTCCATTGATTTCTTTTTTCCTTTCTTAGTTTCTGAGGCCCTACGCTCTCCTACTTTTCCTCTTCTCTCTACATTAGTGTCATGTGCTGGCTTCTCCTCTGCTCATACTCTGTGTGCTGCAGAGCCCTGAGCTCTGGTCTAGGCCCTCTCTCTTCTTCATCCTCATACTCTCCCTGGGTGGTTTTAATGTTCTGTACATGCAAATGGTACTCACATTTATATATTTAGTTCTGATCTCTCCTCAGAAGTTAGACTTGTATTTCCAACTGCCTAATTGACAACACTTTGTGGATGTCTAATCTCAAAATTATCTAAACCCCACTTTCTCCCTAATGTATTCCTTTCTCAAACTTCCCTCAACTGAGTCAATGACAAAAACATCTACCTAGTCACTCAAGAGAAAAATCTAGGTGTTATCTTTTATTTTTTCTCATATGCCCCCAATCCTTCCAGAAGTAGTGTCCATGTTACCTCCAAAATGTACAAGACCTTCCTTTTCCCCTGACTTTCCACTATTGCTACTTGGTTCAAGCCAGTATCTCCTTTTGCCTGGCCCACTACTATATTCATTTCCCAGGTAACCTATTCCCTACCCAGCAGCCAGACTATACTTTGAAAACCTAAATTAGACCACATCGCTTTTTACTGAACATTTTCTAATGGCTTTCATCACACCCAGAATACCATTCCAGGGCCCTCTCCTGGCTGAGGAAGAGCTGCACAGCTTGGCTCCTCCTCCTCTACTGTTCTCTAATCCTGGAGGTTCTGCTCACACTGGCCTTTCATCAACATCAGCACACCACATGTGTTCTGTACTCAGAGCCATCACACTTGCTGTTCTCTATACCTAGATTCAAATCATGTTATTAAATTCAGCTCAAAGTTCACCTTTTCAGAGTGGCCTGTTCTGACCACACTAAACAGTTGTTAGTCATTCTAGATCGTGTTATCCTGTGCAAATTCTCTACACGGCACTGACCTCCACTTAGAATTTTCTTGTTTGCTTGTTTCTGTCACTATTTCCCCTATTAGAATGTGGGTTTTGGGACAGCAGGTGGTATGATGGTTAATGATGGACTTCTACATGTCTGATGTTTGACCATGGTTTGAGTCCCAGACCAGGCAACTAGAAAATCACACCAAGTGCATGTGCATATGTGCTCAAACTTCCAGGAGGAGACAGGAGGAGAAAAGATTGTGCCAAGGTCATTCTCCTGGGGAGTGATTTCTTACTTTTCCTCTCTGCGCCTCTCTGGCGAGCACATGCACCTGATGGCAAAAGTCTTCCCCCCCCCCCCCCCCCCCAAAAAAAAAGAATATGGGCTTCATGAAATCTGAGACATCGTTTGTCCTCTTAACTGCTCTGTCCCCATTACTTTTTAGTATACCTGGACCATGATGAGTTCTCAGTAAAATTTATAAATGAATGAAAATGTATAGATGAATTTATATGTGTGTCTAACATACATTGGGATATAATAGTTTCACAATTTTACATAACAATAAGTATCAAGAAAGACTCCCAAGACACACACACACACACACACACACACACACACACACACACAAAGTAGTGTATATGAGGTAACTGTCCTTATAATAAGAATCTTCTAGCTTTGAATAAAAATTCTGTAACATTAAATGTATGTAGTAAATTCTATTTCATATGTTCTCAGTTGTGTCCCTACTGGGCTCTAAGAGTTTCCTCACTTAAGAATATAGGAATATAGTGAAACTTTAGTTTGGAATAAAATGTTTTCAGTTGGTTTTTCATGCATGTGGTTTGAGTTGGATTGTAGCGTGGTGCCATTAAAGGAATACAACACAACTCTTCCATTCACCATGTGTGATCTTAGGCAAATGTCTTAAATTCCAATGGACCTGCTTCTTCTTCTGTTAAATGAAGAAAGTGCAGGGTGGGAGGGTACCTCCTGTCTCTAACAGTCACTGTTCTTTGAAGGGAGTCCTCCTACTAAGACCCAATGTAGACTGATTGCCTACTAAATGCCAGGCACAGAGTTAAAAGAGTTTTACAAGAAGTATCTCAGTTAATCTTCACCATACTTCTACAGATGAGTGCTAGGATGGTTTTCATCATACAGAGAACCTAAGGCTTAGAAAGGCTTGGTAACCTGTCTAAGGTCCCAGTGACACCAGGACTTGACTTCATATGATGACCATTACCCTGACTGCCTCTCAATGTGGTCTGGCTCCATTTGAGTCCTATAGGGGGCCTGGGAAGGGTTCCACCAACATAGATGACTGTGTCATCTGTCCTTTGTAGGAGAGAATTGCCAAAAGCCATGGCTCTCAGTGTGGATTCTGCACCCCCGGCATCGTCATGAGCATGTATACACTGCTCCGGAACCAGCCCTCGCCCACCATTGAGGAAATTGAGAATGCCTTCCAAGGTATGGCCCTTTAGACACAGTAAAGGAGGTAGATTTGCAAATGGTTCAGGAGAGGACAGGACAGGGCCTGTGTGAAAGCCAGCAATGAGCAAGGAGAGCGAGGGAATGCCCTTTGGAGGAAAGATCCACACTTCTCCAACATGGTGGCTAAGATCTTCAAGAAAAAGCCTACTCTCATTTTGGAGGACACTCAGCTAAACTTGAAGACCTCTTGAAGTTCCCTGCCTTTATATGCATCTTCCTGAGGTGTCTTCTCCTGTCTTTCTCTAGCACTGGGGTGGGGTTGCAAAGGGTGGCTGGTGCAGAAAGACATTGCTAAGGAAACCCCTCAGAGGCTAGTGGTATGGTTTCCTTCCCTCTGAACTTTCACTAGAACTAGATTCTGCAGGGCAAAGACCACATCTGAGGAAGACAGCCAGGATTTTGAACCAGAGGCAGTAATTGGCTCCCCATTTTGCCTTTGAGAATGTGCCCGGAAGCATATACCATTTGTCTATTTCTTTCAATTGAATAAAGAAGGCTCTTTATCCATTCACCATTTCAATCTATCATTTATTCAGTTATTTTGAGTCCTATCTTATGTAGAACACTCTCTGAGGCAGAAGGAACACAATATGAAAGACAGAGTCCCTATTCTCAAGGAGTTCACATTCTGAATGGGAAGTTTGATAGGCTCCCTGGTAAAAGTTTGACCAGGCATGATAGAAGTATTTGGGAGGGGGCACTTGACTTAGTCTGGGCATTCTAGAAAATGTTCCTGGAGGAAGTATTCATGGACATTTTGAAGTCAGAAATAGGATAAGGGAGATGAGTCTCTTGGGTAGAACAAAACAGAAAGTGCAAGGGCAGGATGGTAAAGAGCACACCCAACTGAGCTGTGAGCGAAGTCACAGCCCTGGAGACCTGGACTGATGTGGCAACTTTTTCCTTGGCCTGCAGGAAACCTCTGCCGCTGCACAGGTTACAGGCCCATCCTTCAGGGCTTTCGGACCTTCGCCCGGGTAAGTGTGGCAGGAGAGGGTGGAGCAGCAGTGGCCTTGCTCTTAAGGTAACAATACTTAGGGATCACTATTGGGAGGGGAGACAAGGATCTCTGGTTTACAAAAATGAAAGATAAGATGACCAGTTAGGGCGTTTCCCATCCAGAGGCCATTTGGCAAGGTAAGTGAGTGCTGCCAACCTCATTCAGGGAGGAGTTCTTATTCTTACCATGGCGCCTTTCCTGCAAGTGGTCTGGAGACCTGCCTCCTGGAAGAACTTAGACACTGCGTAAGAACTAGATTCCCTCAGTGCCTTCAGGCTTGGCAGCTTTCCCTTGCAGACTGGCAGGCTCAGCACATGGCACAGGTGCCGAATGTGGCACTTCACAACAATCCAGCTTGGCTCAGCACTTGTGCTCCCCTCGACTCCCAGGCCTGGCTGCTTTCTACAGCTGGCACTCTGCTGGGCATATGACACTGATAGTTAGATCTCCAGACAGGTTGTGAACCCCTGCAGTGTTCATATAACTCTGAGTGAGAAACCGCAGCTGGGTGTGTGAGCTTTGATTATATAAACACCGACATACACCTGCCATTTGGCCAGGAAGATAGAGGGTTGGCCTCTCCTTTCTTGGCTCAATCTCTTCAGATTTTACCTGATTCCTCACCTGGGTCAAGTTGATCCTGTCTCGAATCAAACTGTCTCATCACAAATTGATTCTGGGCCCAGGAGAGAGACACCTGTGATTTCCACTCACCTTCAAAGCTGACACATCACAAAAAGGAATGCTGTGTCTACATAACCCAAGAAGGGGGGGGTGGAGATGAAGACTGGGCATTATAAAGATAGAAGATACCACACCTTGAGGAATGCTCTTAATGATGAAGAATTAGGAGGTGTGGGATTAAATGAAAATGATTGAAAGTACAGGTTCAGAATTTGTAGACCTGGGTTCATATCCTATTTTCTCAATTGACACATGATCTTGAGCAAGTTTCCTTCTTTTAAAAATGGTGATTATAATAATACCTACCTTATGGTGCCTGTAAAAATTAAGTACTTTGTCTAAAGCTTTAAAAACAATACCTGTTTTAAAGAATTCAATAAATGGCAGCTATAAATTATGACACTGATACATTTCTTCCACTTCCTACTATATGATCTCCATAAACTGCTTAAGCTTCTCTGAGAACCAGGGATTGTTAATCTTGCCTCTAGCATTTTATAAGAGCCAGCTCAAAGAAACACAATCTAACCAGTCCTCCTAGTTTTACTGAAGAGAAGGAAGGGCTTTTGAGTATAACAGAAAATTATAGGCCCTCTCAAAGTTTGAGTGTTACCAACATTGAAATGTTTCCTGATTCCATTGTCTTCAACATCTTGCCCAAATTTCCCAGGTAGGATGATCAGAAAACAAGACCCAAAGCAGAACAGATTGAGAACAATGAGCAGCTAATGCCTTGCACATAGAAGGTGCTCAGAAGCTTATGTATGTTGCTCATGTGAGACCCCTGAGACTTTTTTTTTTTTTGAGAGTTTTTTGCTACAGGACACATGCGCTTGCCAGAAAGACAGAGAGACAGAGAGACAGAAAGCAAGAAATCACCCAACAGGGGGATGGCCATGCCACAATCCCTTCTCCATTCTCCTCTTGGGATCTTGGGGATGCATGCATGCACGCCGGGTGTGAGTTTCAGGGATGATCAGAAAACAAGACCCAAATATATGTACTCTATAAGAAACTCACTTGAAATATAAAGACATATATAGATGAAAAATAACTGACTAAAGAAAGATATACTTGTTAATATGAATATTAGTCAAAAGAAAGCAAGAATATCTATTTTAGTTTTGGACAAAATAAAAAAGTTATCAGATAAAAGGGGATCAATGCTCTAAGAAGACATAAAAATTCTTAATGTGCTCTAACAATAGATCATCAAAACATGGGGGGAAAACTAATAGAACTGCAATGACAAGTAGACAAATTCACTATTATAGGTGGAGACTTTTACATCCCTCTACTGGAAATGGACAGATCCAGCAGCAGAAAATCAATAAAGATGCAGATGAGCTAAGCATCAGCATTTAATAACTGGATATAATTGATACCTATAGACTACTTTGGCCAAAAGCAGTAGAAAACACATTCTTCTCAAGTTTGTGAATTAGCTTGGTAGATAAAACATTTGACAAGCTAGACCATGTTCTGGGTTGTAAAGCACATCTTAACAAATTTAAAAGAATGGAAATCATACAATATCTTTTTTAAGACCACGGTGAATTAAACTGGAGCTCAATAACAAAAAGATAGCAGAAAAATCTCAAATACTTGGAGATAGAGCACTTCTAAGTAACACATGGATTAAAGAAGAAACATCGAGAGAACTTTTAAAATATTTTAGACTATGTTTAGCTCTTTGATCCATTTTGAATTGATTTTTGTTAGAGGTGAGAGACAGAAGTCCAGTTTTCATTTTTCTGGAGGTGGATACCCAGTTTTCCAAGTACCATTTGCCGAAGAGATTTTCTTTTCTTCACTGATTGTCATGTTCCCTTTGTCAAAATTCAGTTGACTGAATATTTGGGGATTTATTTAAAATTTAAAATACAATTTATCAAAATTGGTGGCATGCAGTGAAAACAATGCTTAGAGGAAATTGTATAGTACTGAGTGTGTATATTACAAATGAAAAAAGATCTAAAAATTATCTAGGCCTCCACCTTAAGAAAGTAGGAAAAGAAGACTAAATTAAATCCATAGTGAGCAAGAAAGAAGGAAGTGAAATTTAAATCAGAAGGCAATAAAATTGAAAGTAGGACATTAATATAGAAAATCAACAAAAGTAAAAGCTGAATCTTGGAAATGATCAATATGATTGATAAACCTCTAGCTAGCCTAACTTAGAAAAAAAAAGATAGGAAATACAAATTATTAATAGCAAAATGAGAGGGGCGCATTATTACAGATTTTATGGACATTAGAAGGATAATAAATATTATGAACAGCTCCATGTACACAAATTTCATGGCCAGGATGAAATGAACCAATTCCTTGAAAGACATAATCTGCCAAAATTCATGTGTGATGGAATAAACAATCTGAATAGGCTTGTATCTATTAAAGAAATTGACTCAATAATTAATAATCTTCTGAAATAGAAAACACCCAACCCAGATGGATTCACCCCTGAATTCTACCAAACATTTAAAGAAGAAATTATACAAATTATCAAAATTGCTTCTAGAAGATGGAATTAGAGGATACAAAAGTCAATTGGTTTCCTATATACTAGCAATGAAAAAGTGGAATTTGAATGAAAAACACCTTATCATCTGCATTAGCAGCATCCCCCCAATGAAATACTTACATATATATCTAAAAAGAAAATCTATGTACAAGATGTATTTGAGAAAAACTATAAAACTCCGAAGGAAAAAATCAAAGAGCTAAGTAAGTGGAGAGATACTTCATGTTCATGGATAGGAAGATTAAATATTATCAACATGTCAGTTCTGTGTTTAGATCTTTGATCCATTTTGAATTGATTTTTGTTAGAGGTGAGAGACAGAAGTCCAGTTTTCATTTTTCTGGAGGTGGATACCCAGTTTTCCAAGTACCATTTGCCGAAGAGATTTTCTTTTCTTCACTGATTGTCATGTTCCCTTTGTCAAAATTCAGTTGACTGAATATTTGGGGATTTATTTAAAATTTAAAATACAATTTATCAAAATTGGTGGCATGCAGTGAAAACAATGCTTAGAGGAAATTGTATAGTACTGAGTGTGTATATTACAAATGAAAAAAGATCTAAAAATTATCTAGGCCTCCACCTTAAGAAAGTAGGAAAAGAAGACTAAATTAAATCCATAGTGAGCAAGAAAGAAGGAAGTGAAATTTAAATCAGAAGGCAATAAAATTGAAAGTAGGACATTAATATAGAAAATCAACAAAAGTAAAAGCTGAATCTTGGAAATGATCAATATGATTGATAAACCTCTAGCTAGCCTAACTTAGAAAAAAAAAGATAGGAAATACAAATTATTAATAGCAAAATGAGAGGGGCGCATTATTACAGATTTTATGGACATTAGAAGGATAATAAATATTATGAACAGCTCCATGTACACAAATTTCATGGCCAGGATGAAATGAACCAATTCCTTGAAAGACATAATCTGCCAAAATTCATGTGTGATGGAATAAACAATCTGAATAGGCTTGTATCTATTAAAGAAATTGACTCAATAATTAATAATCTTCTGAAATAGAAAACACCCAACCCAGATGGATTCACCCCTGAATTCTACCAAACATTTAAAGAAGAAATTATACAAATTATCAAAATTGCTTCTAGAAGATGGAATTAGAGGATACAAAAGTCAATTGGTTTCCTATATACTAGCAATGAAAAAGTGGAATTTGAATGAAAAACACCTTATCATCTGCATTAGCAGCATCCCCCCAATGAAATACTTACATATATATCTAAAAAGAAAATCTATGTACAAGATGTATTTGAGAAAAACTATAAAACTCCGAAGGAAAAAATCAAAGAGCTAAGTAAGTGGAGAGATACTTCATGTTCATGGATAGGAAGATTAAATATTATCAACATGTCAGTTCTTCCCAACTTAGTGTATAGATTTAATGCAACCACAAAGAAGATCTCAGCAAATTATTTTGTAGATATTGACAAGCTTATTCTAAAGTTTATTTGGCGAGGGAAAAGACCCAGAACAGCAAATCCAATATTGAAGGAGAATAGTCAGAGGATTGACATTACCAAATTTAAGACTTATCGTAAAGCCATAGTTAACAAGAAAATATGTTTTTGAAAGAGAAAGTGAATAGATCTATGAGTCTCAAAATAGACCCACATAAATATAGTCAACTAATCTTTGGCAAAGGAGCAAAGGCAGTACAGCGGAGCAAAGGTAGTCTTTTAGACAACACATTATTGTACATCCTAGTAATTTATGTCATAAATATACCAATGGATTATCAAGAAAAAAGATCTAAGTAATAATGTACTGGCACTTTGATTATCTGGAAAGTGTACTGTGGAGTATGTCCTTACTCAGGAGGGCCAGGTGAGTGAGGCTGATGCTATATGTAGGTTCCACTCACTTCATGCAGGGACTGGGAATTCTCCTGCATCACTCCTTCTCCAACAGGCACTGAGGAACCTCCCTTTATGTCTAATGATAGAGGGAAAGA